TTTTTTTTTTTTTTTTTAAATTATATATGCGATTCGACGATTTTAAACAACGACGTTTGTATGTTACATTTTATACGATCGTTTTTACAGGAATATTATTTGGTTAAGAAATTCATTTGAAACAGTAGTACAGTGCTTTGTTTCTGCGAGGTAAAAGCTATGAATGTATTTTCTTCATTGGACAAATCGTTCACTTGATTATATTGTTAAGATTATATCCCAATTGTATGATTCTCTTTTCACTTGTTTATTTTAGATAAAACTCAGTGATCTTCCAAAGGCGATGTATTATTAGCCACATTATCAATTTATAATACCAAACAAGTGTAGATTTTGCTGCGATGTAGCGTAAGTGTTGACACGCACGAAAATATTCGCGAATACAAATTCTTTATATTCTTAATCTACTGTAGGTCAAGCAGATTTTTAATTCTTCTTTGCTGTTTTTTTTTTTTCTCTCTTTTTATATACTTACCGTATATACTTCAGATCTTGTTTATTGTTACGATTATCCTTGGTACCTGAAGTATGAGTATGTACTTAACCAGGGAAGGTTGAGATATTTGGTTTACATTGCGCATGTGGCAAACTTCCACCTTATTATTATTATATAGTTGATGAGAACATGAAAGAAATGTGCACGTACTTAGAAACTCGAGTGGTCAGTGTCTTTTGACTTTTGAATCGTTCTTTTATCGGACTTTCATCGATTTGCGCTTCTTTTTTTTTTTATTCCTTTCTTTCTTTATCGTTTAACATGGAAATCACGAAGCTGCTAATTGTCGATCATTTCACGATAATTATGTCGAGTGACATCCGCGAGAGACTTTGCATTGCGAACAAACTGTCTCTTCCGATAATTTGATAGGATCCGCTTCTACAGCGCTTTCTTCCTCTCGTCTTTAGAATAGAGCATTATATAGTCAGCGCGAGAAGATAGTCGTTGCCGTGCCTCCTGCCTCACGTACCATTCATCTCCGGTTTTACGTTCGGTCCAAATTTACTTCCGGGACAACGGTGCCTAAAATGG